AGCTTGGCAGTGCCCTCTGGTGGAAAAACTATTTAAGGGTGTTTCTAAATTACCTAAAACATATCTTTGGCATTCCTGTACTGCAGTCTCTTTTTACTCATAAAGACCAATATGGATTTATCTCTTATAAGTTCATATCGGCCAGACATTTTGTAGCACGCTAGAGTCAGTCCGAAACTCTGGTCCAGACTGAAATATCTCTCCAATTATTGGAGGGATTTCCAATAAATTTTGTGCAGGCATTAATGGGTCCCAGAAGATGAATCCTAATGACTTTGTTGATCCTCTGACTGTTCATGTACCGCCATCGTGAGTTTTTTTTTAATCTACTATACACTATTTTACTATCGGATGAATTGCCTTGACATTGGGTGTAGATATTTAAGGTCTCCAGCAGATGATGGTGATCCCCTGAGAGATCAGAGTTTTAATAATCAGGTGAATCATCTCCACATGTACTGGATGGAGTGGTGCAAAATTTAGTACAGATGATCATGTTCCCAGAAGAACTTCTGGATACTTTGCTGATCAACTTCTACCCCACCGCAACCAGCTGGTCAAATTTCACCTTTTCTAATTATTTTTCTTAAAAAATAAAAAACAAACTCTTTCTCTTCTTACTATGCGCCAATTAGCAAATGTTAGAAAGCTAAGACAGGAACCATGGTACACAACCGCTGCTAAAAAAAACACTGGCTACAGACTGGAGAAAAAAAAAGTGTCCCTCATTGTGTAATAAAACTATAAAGACTTAAGAGTACATATAATTTACCAAAATGTTCTTCTATAAATATTTTTTTCTTTCGTTCATTTATTTCCTAGAATGAAGATAATCCTTCGTTGATCCCCCAGAGGGGAAATTCAGGTTTGAACAGAACAATTGAACCGTATGTATCTATGTTATCAAACTCCCCGTTTATTTGCCCCCACGTTAATGGATTTATAAACTCACAATTGCCACGATTCGGCCTCCATACGCACCCCTGAAAGTTACTACTGTTACCAGTCTACTATGAAGCGGGCGGAGCAGAGATGTCAGTCTGTCCGCCTCCTGTCAGTCCCTCCGACTCCTCCACCCTCCCGGTTCATGTTTCATTATTCTAAATGTGGTCACAGTTGCCCCACTGAACCGCCTCCGGTGCGCTCCCGTGGCCTCTCCTTTCTCCGCCGCTACCGATGTAGTTTGGGCAGCAGCAGTCAGCGCCATGCCGTGCACCTTCTCCTACAAACCAGCGAGCTGCTGCCACGGGGACCCGAGCCGGAGCGGGAGCCGCGACCCGCTGCTCTCCTGTCGGACGCGCCGCAGGTAACGGGACGCTGCCGGTGCTCTGCCCGCCTCTGGGGACCGCATTCCTCTGGCGGGAGCGTCCACAGCAGAAATCATTGTAATGATCATTGTAATGATTTCTGAGGCAGAGTACTGTTTAAAACCCGTAATCAATGTTGATAAATGATTTGAAGTTAATAGTTAATGAACGATTAGAGTGGTCAGGGACTCTGGAAGTAACTTTCTTTGAGAGGATTAGTTTGAAATTGCAAAAGTTTCGTGGAATAATCGATATATCTGAAGGTGAACCCCTCTGAGTCCTTGAAGAATGTGTTTTGAAGCAAAGCATTTCTGACTTCTATCAAAGTGTTTAAAATAAGGTTTTTAAATGCGGAAACACAAATGCCGGGTGTCTAATTTACAAGTCAATCAAATATAGTATGTGGCTGATAACTCCACAAACAGCATACCACAGACTAACCACAGTGTGCCCCTGGACCAAAAAAAATTAGGTCATCATAGGACATGAGACAATATGTGGTTACTAATCCAAATACGTTGTTTCTCCCTGTTGGGATTGGTGACAGTCACTGGAGACATTACCACACCCACACTGAATATGACCGTTGTTCGCACTAACTCTGACTTACTGTGTTGCCTGCGGCCAAGCTTCTCTCATTCTCCTGTACACTCAGTGACCTGACCTAGATTGAAGCTGTAAATTTGTACATGGTATGACCAAGTGTGGTGGAAGGTTATTTTATATGATCTGCCCTAGATTCCTGTGGTGAGGCGATGGCGGGTGGTTTGATCAATTGAGGACCAATGTGTTGTCTGTTATTCCAAAGGTTTTTTATTTAATTCATTATGTGTTTCCAGTTTAGATTCTTGTTCATTTGTACGTTTTCCAGTCGTTTCTGCTTTTACCCTCTGTTGGGGGAAAAACAAGAAAGCAGAAAAGGGTGATGAGAGTAGAAAAATGACTCCCCTGGAGGTTTTAAATCCTGACACTTACGAGATTAATCCTAACATAACCCTATCTGTCTTTTCTTTTTCACAGGGCCTCAGGAACCAATGTTGCTGCCATTGATAATAAAATTGAACAGGCAATGGTGAGTAATCCCTTTACCATTCATCATACACTTTTGTCTCACTTTTTACTTTTTCAAGAACTCTAGGTTCTTTTATATTTTATATATTATCTTCGTCTTTGCCCTTCAGAATGAACTCACACTGCATTCACAGCTAGAATAAATACATGAACAAATGGAGCCTTTAGCCTTGAGCCTTACGCTGATGTCCTTGTCTGAACATCATAAATCAGACACAGCTGCCTCTGGTCAGGTCCTATATATTGATTTGTGCCCTACTCTTCCTCTCCTGCAGGACCTGGTGAAAAGCCATCTGATGTATGCAGTGCGCGAGGAGGTGGAGGTCTTAAAGGAACAGATCAAAGAGCTGTATGAGAGGAACTCTGTGCTGGAGAGGGAGAACGCCGTGTTGAAATCTCTGGCCAACAGCGAGCAGCTGTCTCAGCTGTCCACCCAGTCGGCCACCCACCGGCACCGGCACCACGCCTCCCCAGCAAGGACTCAGCCAGCCTCAGCAGCAAGCCCAGCCTCCTCTTCAAGTCCAGCCTCAGCCTCAGCCTCAGCCTCAGCCGCAGCCGCAGTCACACCCCCAGCTCCAGCACCACCCCAAACCCCAGCAGCTCCAGACTCAGCCTCAGCTCGATCCTGGCCAACAACAGCAACAACTGCAACCCAACGTCACCTCCGCTTGAAGTGCATCTGCCCTGCTTCGCATAGGGCAGGGAAAAAAAAAAAGAAAAAAAGAAGAGCATCTTCTCTACAACTTATTACAATTAGTGTATGTGAAATTAAAAAGAAGAAAAAAAAACAACTTTTGTCTTCTTAGCCACCAGCTTGACCACAAAGTACAGTGCTTGTGTGTGTCCGAGTGAGTTAGCAAGCAAGTGTGACTGTGAAATGTAAGTGTGTATGCATCTGTACTGTGGGCCTTTCCAGTGTTAATGCAATCATCAAGAGAGAGACAGAGAGACTTGGAGAAAGTGTGTGTAGAGACAGCGTGTCAGGGAAGGTCAGGGTGTTTTTTTTCTTGTTTTTTTTTCCCATCTTGGCTGCGTTCCCGGATTGGTTGACTGCTGGGTCCAAGCTCGTGGACAGGATGTCTTTTCTCCTTGGACCAGGCCAGAGCCAGAGCAGCCCGCCGCCTGACCTGAAACCTGCTCAAACCGTGGGTGTGGAAAGGGAGGGGTTCACCTCACATAAGGGACAAACGAGAGTGATTGTCAAAAAGAGAGCGATTATTTTTTTAAATGAGAGATAATTGGGTGGGTAAAGGGGTATTTTTAGCCTTGCTGTTTCATGTTGTAAAGTAAGAAGTGGGAGAGAGTCTGTTTTTCCGGAGCGCCACACCGCTGCCGTTACTTTTACATCCAACCCTTGCATCGGTCTTTTGAGTTCTACTGTGTTTTATTTATTACAGGGCTGCTATTTTCATAAAAGAACAATTTCATGAAACCTGTTTTAACAGAAGCCCAGTGACTTGTTTCCTTTTTTCTTTTACAGTGTTTCAACAGATTGGCCAAACTTCCCGGGGGCAATGCTTTAATTGTTAAAAATGTAGGCAAAAAAAAAAAAAGAAATTCTGACAAATGTTTAACACTAACTCAAATGTTACTCTGCAATTGCCAATTCATAGCTCGAGTCAAGATCCAGTATAAATGTACATTTTTGTATAGTATAAAGTATTAAGAGCCTTGCTGGGTGACTCTTCACCTGTTGACATCAAATCTTAACGTGGGCCTGCAGAAGGCATTTGATGAAGATTCAAATCTGTCGGTAGTTTTATCTAAAAAGTGAATTAGTGTTGCCATACCCCCCCCTCCTTCTTGGTTTTTTCTCCCGATGTGTTTCCTGAGGGGGCCAGGGGGGAAAGCTGTGAAATCATTCAACCTACTTTGTAACCAAAGATGCAAAGCTGTGTAAATTGATTATTTTTTAATGCACACTCATATTTTTTTTTTTGTTACTTCCTCCTTCACAAAATATTTTGTTGCTGTTCAGCATGTTCTGCATGATCTGTAATCTTCAAACCACTTTCTTACCTCATTTTTATTCAGCACTCTTATTGTAAGATAGTCTGTGAACAGTGTAAATGGGGAAAAATGATGCAGAGTGGGCAGAAAGAAAAATAACCTAGTGTTATTGACACTAGTCACAGAAAAATGAAGTGAGCCATGTTTTGTTCATTTGAATGGTGTTTGAATTTCATATGCCAATAGTTTTGTTACATTGCAAATTTTAATGTATTTAAATAAAAGCAATATTCAGATTCCAAAACATGCCCGTTTCTTTTGTTACAAAGTTCCAGAAAGCCGTTCATTGATACAAGACAGTTTGGACATTGGAAACCTTTTTACTGTCCACTGGAACACTTTCTGAATATGAAACCTCTGGACGATCAAGTTGCCTTTGATAACGCGTTAAATTTGAACAGATCCTCTTTCTACCATTCACAATCTCAACCCACAATAAGATACAATGTCCCAGATGCAAAGGTCTGTCAGTGAACTCTCTGGATATACAAGGTACATAAAACCCTTCAGAGGGAGGTGGCTGGTGTTTGTTTCACAGGCAGGTGGCACTGTTCGATTACAGGTCTAGATTTTCAGTGTCAGTGTGCTGCAATCTGATTTGTATAGCAAATCTTGAAAGAGAAATTTGTTTATTTGAAGAAACATTAGAAAACAATTCTCAAAAATGTCAAAAACGGGTATTGGGAACATACTTGTCACCCTTGCAAATACATAGCAGTTCTCTCTAAATAAGAAATCCTTCCAAACAGTCTTCATGACAGCTTCACCAGTTCCACGTCCAAAGTATAGGACGTCCACAATACAAACAGTGGAGTACAATGATATGGACAATGAATGGGAACTTATTTTAAACCAACGTCCATTGACACTTTGCACACTTGTGTTCTCACAGCTGAGCCATTGCGCATGTTGTGCTCACGTGTCCCACATTTTCTCTCCCTCTCATTAGTAACGTCAGTCGGTGGTTCAGCACGTCCCCTCCGTCAGAAAGGTGGGGGTCACTGTGTGGATCTGAGCAGGACAGAAGGGCTTCTTAGTATTATTACTTGTCATCGTCTTTTTTGCCCGGCTAACCCACGGTAACAAATCTGCTGCCTTTAACGCTTTGTGCTGTGGCGGAACGCTGATCTTTCAGGATGCGGAATCGCTCGTTCAAGGTCATCGATGTTTGCTGTGGAGAGAGAAGTACACCAGAGACCTGTTAAATATTTGGGGAGCAGTATTTTTGAGACAATGGGCCTCAAGCAGGAAGTGATATACAAACATTCTTATTATTGAGCGGTTTTGAGGTAGTTTTTTTGTGTCATTTTGTCATTTTTTTGGAGGCATCTCTTTCCAGAGTTGGCACAAGGCATTAATCCTTGCCCTTATGTTTAGTGGGCATTAACTATGCTAATACACAATCAGCCTCACATCTTCAATTTATGATCAAGTGGGATTCATCATTCAGCACATCTGGGGACACCGGAGCCGATCTGGATAGCTGAGTGTGTTTGGTGCATCTGGAGTTAACATCTCTTATTTTTTTTAAGTTAACAGAAAAAATTAAGAGAATGTTACCGCGTGAGGCCCAATGGGGATATAAACACTTGCAGTGTGTTTAAGTATACAGACATTAAGTCTCTCACCGGTTTCCCAACACTGTTGATGTCAAACTGCAGAGGCACTCCTTTTGGTATTTTCTTCTCCACCGTTTCCACCTTGACGGGAGCAGAGGTGGATGTTGGGGGATGCAGGGTCCAAGCAGTGGGAGGTCTACGAAGAAGTCACACAGCCAGTCGCTGACTGAGGTGTGAAGGTCATAACTAACTAACTAACTATATTTCTAAATGTTCTTGTTACTATGAACAAAAACAACATTTTTATGGAAATTGTTTCCTAAACGACGTACAAAAGCAGAGTGTAAAGATTGTGCAGGGTTTGTGATATTTACTCAGGCTGAGTCCTGGCTGTTGGATTGTCAATTGAAACAGTCAAGATTCCACTGCTGGTAGATGATGTGCGCCACCTGGTGGACAAACAGGAAAGTTGTACTTTATCACACAAACACAACAGACACAGACCCTAAAATGGTAAACAATGGTCTTCTTTCCCCTCCAAATGATTCATATCCTCCTCGCGATTTCCTCTTCTCACACGTGCACATACAGAGTAACACTGGCAATTAGCTAGTAACAACCAACAATGAGCCAAAATAGACTCGGAGATCTAAGCATACTCACTGGCGAGTTCTGACTGGAGGAGTGTGAGGATTCGGCTTTTGCACTTGTGCCTGTACCTGTAATATGGAGCAATGGACATGGAGAATAAACAAGGTGGTGTATTGATATTTATAGATAGATTTAAGTCTTTAAACACCCATGCCACACACAACCATTGCGTACCTTGAGTCCTCTGCGAAAGAGAAATGTGGCCTGACGTGCTTCTCTCTGAGTCTGCTGGACAGGCGGCAGTGGTCTGCATGGGTGCAACACAAACATATCAAAATAGAGCTGTGTATTCAGTGCAGGTCTACAAACAGTCCGACTTTGTGTTCTTACACCATGTGCCACAATTCTCCTAGTATTCAGAGAGAACTATACACTGGTACAAGGGCACTGTAAGACTGTACACACGTTGTTATAAAGGTGTTCTTACCGTCGTTGCAGCTGAAATGGTCTCCTGACCGATGTTGCATTCTGGGCTCTCTGTGGATCGAGGTGCCTGTACGGCCGCCTCTGTACCTCTGGCTTCCTGTACTGAACTTCAAGGCGCTGAATGAAAGGTTTTGTTTTCTGTCTTGTTTTCTGAAAGACAGTGAAGCACGTAATTTTATGGTAGGCGATTAGTTCAAATCATAACTCTATTATCTTCCTTTAGTTCTTTTACCGTGTTTAAATTATGAACCAGCATTACTTCACCAAACTAACCCATTTGAATTTCCATCTGTAAAAAGGTAAACCTTAAATAAACAGTGTGATCCAGCTTGATGCTAAAAACCGGAAATGACCAGGAGACAGAAGAGATCAGTCACTTCATAAGTAGAAAGAGTAAGCTAGTAAGTACCAACCCCAATCTGCTTGGGTATTTGCACGAGATCAGACCTGAATTTTTATATGCGCTTTGGCAAATAATTTTTAAAAATGAATTCAATGTAAGAATTTAAAGAGAAAGTTTTTTTTTTTAAGTTTTTTTTCGGCTTTTTGCCTTTATTTGATATGTACAGCTGAAGATAGACAGGAAAGGGGAGTAGAGAGAGGGGATGACACGCAAAGGGCCGCAGGTCGGATTCAAACCCCGGGCCGCTGCAGCAAGGACTCAGCCTCGGTGCATGGGTCGCCAGCTCTACCCACTGAGCTAACCGGGCGCCCTTTAAAGACAATGTTAATAAAAATGAGAAAAGGTCAATGAATCACCAAGTGCGATGACATACAGTAACTGAAGATTAAGTGTGTAAAACACAGCTTTAATGATACACTGACTTACCGAGAGGGAAAATCAATTAAGGATGATGTGGTGGGCTATGGAGGTTCAAAGTTCCAATCACATCCGCTGAGATTCTCATCAAGACCTACTAGCTTTCAATAAATTACAATTCAGGGATGATGGGAAATGGAAAAGTTTCTAAGATCGTCTCATCTGGAGCAGACAACATCAGGGGCAGCTAACCAAGTGAGTTAGCGCTTCCTGGATACCAGACGGCAGCTGCTGATGTCTGTTGCCAGGCGACAGGATGTGGAGAAAACTCCTGCCGCTGCCTGTGATGAAGGTCGGGCAGATTCAGGTCAGCAAGAAGAGTTCAGTCTGTTGGTGTGCTTGCTCGTACAGTGGGCAAGCAAGGCTGTTTGGTTACCAAGGAAACAAATAACAATGCACATGCTTTTTGAAAATGCACTTGAGCTCCATCTTTTTTTCTTTTCTTCTCTTTGTCAACTTCTGCAAGTGCAAGGTTGCAGAAGGTGATCAAGCTTCAGTGCAATACCACAGAGAGTTTCAGTGTATTTAATTTGGATTGTCTAATCTTTAGTACTGTTTCTTCTCTTTTTCCTCTTATATCTTTTACCTAATAAAAGCTGGGGGAAAGGGTTGTTTTTGTCAACCTAACTCGTTGAGCAAAGAGCTGACACCACTACTTCAATTAACGTAACGATCCCACAATGAGATGTGTGCATAAATGTCAGTGTTTATTTATTTTTTAGTGTGGTTATCGGCCACCCCAGTGTGTCCTCCATTACCTGGTTGATTGCTGCTTTGCTGAATGTGCCGACCCGTTTCAGCAGGGCAGCTGGCCGCCTGGCTGCCAGTCCTGTGATGACCCCTTGACCCCGTCGTCTCCCCGGTGGCGGAGGGACCCTTCGGTTTCTTAATTTAGGTGCTCCTCCTCGGGGCACGCCCCCTCCTGGTAAATATAACACTAGAGTCATTACACATGTACAGAGCCGTTTGGACATAAACATGAAAATGATGACCAGCCACGCAGAACGACAGGCGGGAAGGCACCAGCACACACACCTCTCTGGACGGGTCCAGCTGCCCTGGACGAGACCCCCTTTGCTTGGGTTAAACTGCCTTTCCTCTTGACTGGTCGGCGGTTCACGGTGGCCTGTCTCCTTTTGAACTGTTGCTCCTTTTTGTTCAACCGAATTATGTCATCTGTTCAATTTGACACACGAGCAATGGTTAACAAGGCCGTCTGAATGCGAAAATGAGATCAGTTTATCTAGCGAGCAGCTGACAACCTCCCACCAGTTAACTGGAGCTAACGTTAGCTCGTACTCTATTTTAGTAACGTTGGTGTTAGCCATCTTACCTAAGGACATGTCGACTTTATCGGGCACCGCCGGAGTCCTCCCCCGGCCTGCTGTAAAACCACCTTTGTTCATAGTTTAAAACCGCGACACACAATCCCAGGTGCGGAGAGAAAAACAATAATACTTGGCAACCGTGCCAGCAGTTTGTTCCTTTAGAGGCTACGGCAACAGACAGGAACCCTCCCCCCGAACGTAAATGCCGCCGCGCATGCCCTGTAAAGACATACCATCTGCATTGTGGGAAATGCAGTTCAACAACAAAAACAGTGTGTTACAAAACCTACAAACCAGCGTGCAGTTGCATAAGGGAAATTAGCGGCAGTGTCCTTCGTAACTACTACGTTTGTTTCGTTTAGCTTTAGAATACAGTGAACGCTGCATTTTACAGACCGACTTAACGTTTTATTCATTGTATGTTGCACTGTATTTGGAGGAGGTAAGTTATCTCTTCAACGCGACTGTGGTGTGAATGAGAAGCTCTAGTCGTCGTGTTTTTCTATTATTTAACATCTGGCGTGTGTTTCTTAATGCACTTTTGGTTTGTGTAATGTTTTGCAAACGTTGTTATTTTGAGTTGTTCACTTTTTTTTCCCACTGTGGTTTACCTCCAGCTCGTCTTTTCTTTCTGCACAAAGAACACTTTCGAGTCCCACTTCATTATTCTCCTGCCTGAGGAAGCCATTTCCCAGTCAAACCATCATGTCTGACAGAAAACGCAAGGCGAGGTCTGCTGCTAAAGAGCCCAAAGTCAAGCAGCAGAAGTTGGCCGCCATGAAGGAGGAGACGAAGGAGAGAGCTGGGGGCTGGCTGCAACAGCTCCTGGAGCAGCAGAGGACGGAGAAGAAGGAGATGAAATTCAATAAGAAGCGCCTCCGTTTTATTTCAGACACTGAAAAGGTAAAGCAGGGCTCAGAGGGTGTCCTGTACTGGATGTTAAGAGACCACAGAGTGCAAGGTAAGCTACCAGCAGTGCAGTGAGAGGCCTGTTCTGGCTTGTTTTTTCTCTGTATCTCCATTGGCAGTATATTTTGTGTGTTTCAGATAATTGGGCAATGTTCCACGCCCAGCGGCTTGCTGTGGAGGAGAACCTTCCTCTGCACGTCTGTGTCTGCCTGCATGTCCAAGAATCAGAACTGTCCACACTGAGACATTACAGCTTCATGCTGAAAGGTCTGGAAGAAGTTGCAAAGGTATTGACTTCATTATTTAACAGTCATAAATTCCAGTAGTGCATTAGTCGGTTCATCTATATTCATTTGATTGGCAGTCATACATTACAATACATTCATTCATTCAGTTAGTAAAGATCAACTAATGCCACCAAACACACTCTTTTTAATTGAACATAATTGTTGTGAACATTCAAAATCATTCTGTATTTGGTGACTTGAGATGGGTATTTGTCATTTTTTACATTTTATAAGCAAATGAATCAGTTACGATGGGGGTGTAGCAATTGTTTAGGTGAATAAACAAGTAAAAATGCCAAACACTCTCAGGTTCATCCTTCTCAAATCACCAGAAGTCACTAGCGACTCAAGTTACAGCTTTAATTAGGGACCTCGCAAGCGACCACTGGAGGTCCCTATTCTTTATGCTTCGTTTCTTCTTACCTATTATTATTTTTTGATTGCGTTTTTGCCCCCCTGAACATATACGTGCACAATTTCAGGCCATCGCCACTAGGTGGCGCTCTTTAAAATAAAGAAGTTTATATCTCTACAACGGTATGTGTGATTAAGATGAAACTTGCTACGATGCTTCCCCATGGCTCCCTGAGGCTCAATAAAAAATGTGTCAACAATCCGCCACTAGGTGGCGCTCTGGTGGCAGGATAAATCACTGTGCGGAGACCGTAATAGTTATGAATATGAAATTCACAGGGCATGTGTAGACAGGTGCCTGAAGCTCACATACCAAAAATCGTGTTTGTAGCGCCCCCTACAGGATAAAAAAAATAGCAGCCCCGGCGCCACGTTTCACCGATATGTTCGAAACTCGGTAGGCATGTGTAACATGCCAGGACGTACTAAAAAGCCTCTTGGACCCATACCCAAAACCCCACAGGAAGTCGGCCATTTTGATTTTCATTTTCACTTTGCAAACTTTTCGCGTTGTATTTGAACAAACTCCTCATAGGGAATTTATCGGATGTGCTTCAAAATTTGTGAGTATAGTCAAAAAATGGTGCTGATTAAAAGTTGTGCTATTTCTGCATGTACGTTTAAGGGCGTGTCCGTGGCGTGCCCTCAAAGTTGGCCATAGTGAATTCCGTGCGCATTTTCGGTGAATTTTTCGCCTTGTATTTGAACGAACTCCTCCTAGGGAATTTATCGGATCTACTTCAAAATTGGTCAATACAGTCAAAAAATGGTGCTGATTAAACGTTGTGCTATTTGAGACTGTACATCAAACCGCGTGCCAGTGACCACTTGTCGATTTCAGCAGATTCGCAATAAAATAGTGCTCATAACTTCAGTGTGCAATGTCCAATCTCCAATAAACTTAATATGTTCTGAAACAGTTTTGTCCTGAACACGTCCTCATAACATCAGCATACGTGGTCCAATCTCAATGAAACTTCATGTGTTTGATAACGCTCTCGCCTTTAACATGTTTACATGACAACATTCAGACCTAGTGATAGCGCCACCTACTGGCAACAGGAAGTAAGCGCTGCTTTGCGATTTTGAGCTGATCTACGTGAGATTTTCATGTTGTGGTCCGTGCGTGTTACGACAGCAAGTGACGCGGCCGCAGCACGCCCCAAGTTGCGTGGAGTGCAAGGTCCCGCTCAACGCTGCTTGCAGCTTTAATTTTTATTAAATCAGACCGTTGGTCGGACAAAAACAAGCAATCTGGAGACTTGGCTCTGGGCTCTGGGCTCTGGGTAATTGTGAATGGCAGTTTGATTAGTGTATAAGGTTTTAAATCCATTAAGTGAGAAAACACATTTAACAGATTCATCAAGAATGAAAACCGGTGTTTGCAGCCCTCGTAAAGTGAGTAATGAAACAATAAAACATGAATCAATAGAAAAGTCAGGATAGTGGCCCCCTTACATGTTTCTCTACTGAGTTTAAAGTACTAAATAAAATTATTTTTCTAAGCTTGAGGGACATTTAGAAGGAACACAAGTCAAAAACATTGTAGTCATGACATGTTTTTTCACTTGAACCCACAACCAAGTCTATGATGCTTAACTTTTGTTGTTCTGCCCCAACCAAACAGGAGTGCAAAGCCTTGGACATCCAGTTCCACTTGCTGCATGGTTCTGCAGCGGATGTTCTCCCTGGCTTTGTGTCAGACCACAGCCTCGGGGCTGTGGTGACAGACTTCTCCCCCCTCAGAGAGCCACTGCTGTGGGTGGAGGACCTCAAAAAGAGGCTTCCAAAGGACATTCCCATCATGCAGGTACACACTCGATGCCAGAGAGGGAGAGGGTGATAGGATGCTCTGCGTTCTGTTTCTTTGCCAGTGGATATTATTGTTTGCTTCCTCCCTCGTCTTTTCCATTTTGTTTTATTTATTATCCACACTGGTTCATAAAGAAACAAATGATGTAATTGGCCTCCCTCTCATTTAGGAGTATTGCCTTAATTTGTACTGTCAGTGTTTCTTCATTGTCTGTTATATGGCTAAAAACCTAATTTTCTTTTTATAGGTTGATGCCCACAATATTGTTCCCTGCTGGGTAGCATCGCCTAAGCTCGAGTATGCCGCCAGGACCATCAGAGGAAAAATCACCAAACTTCTGCCAGAGTTCCTTACTGATTTTCCTCTGGTAGAGAAACACCCCTACACAGCTACAAGAACTGCCAAAGTAAGTGGTGCAGTAACAGTGAAGCCCACAGTTGGATTGTTTTGAATAAAAGTTAATATGCTATTGTAAGGAGGAGAAAGAAGTTGTGTATTTATGTAACATTCAAGGACTTTTGGATTGGATAAGACAACACAAACACAATTCCTCTTCTCCCAAAACATATTCATTGCTTTGGAAGTGTTATCTGAGATCAATACAAAGGAAAGTGGGCTGTCAGTGAGCTCATTCATGGGGAGTTTGGAAGTCACACTGCTGCAATAAAGCACTTCCTTTCAACCTTCAGCAGCTCCTCTGTGCTACACATTATTTATTGACAAGTGAATATAAACAGTAGACTTTTTTTTCTTTCTTTGACTGTCCAAAAGTTTAAATTTCTTTCCCAGCACTACATATTAAAGCCGCAGGAGTGTGTGCTTTCACTGCAGTGCCGTTATTGATATGCCAGTCACAGGTTTGAGCCTCCTGATAACGTAAGCTAGGTGAAAGGCTCAGAACTTTCTTCACCTCTTTTGAAGTTTGCGTTTTTTTAAAAAACCACAGTGTATATTTTAGCTCATCACTGTCAGCTGTGACCTCTGCTGATTTTTTTTTTTCTTTCTCCCACCTTCACCTTACAGCCAGTAGACTGGGACAAAACCCTAACATCCCTGCAGCTTGACAGAGCAGTGGGAGAGACAGAGTGGGCTAAACCTGGCACCAAGGCAGGGATGGCCATGTTGGAGTCCTTTATTGATGTACGCCTTAAACAGTTTGACACCCAACGCAATGACCCAAACGCTCCCGCCCTCAGCCAGCTCTCCCCCTGGATCCGCTTTGGTCAGTAGTACCCATGGTTACCACGGGTCCTTGAAGTCCTCGAAACTTTGTGAATTTGTGGGGGGTGGGAGGAATCAGGGTTTTATAAATAGACATGGGTCATTGAAAGTGTTTAAATAATTTATTTTGCACCAGAGTAGACATTGAAATTCTTTTGATATATTTGTTATTATTAATTATTATTTATGTTGTACTCTCTTTTTAATTGTGTTTTATGAGCTTCTGTAAAGTCTGCTAGCGCTCGTTATATACATTTTTAGTGTTGTAACAGTAATTAACCTTGATCCGTGTCTCAAACTATGCCATGTTGGGTCCTTGAATCTGAGGGAACTGGGCCTGAAAAGTCCTTGATAAGACCTTGAATTTGATGTTTAGGAAGGTGTGGGAACCTTGAGTACCATGAAAATTATAAATCATTTTATGCATGTCCTTGGGTAGGTGGTGGGGTGGTTTTGTAAATTTCCGCCGCATCTCTGCGTTACCTCCTTTATAAATTTACTCTTTCTTACATTTACTTCCACATATGTGACCCAAACAACTATAGGCCTATATCCAAGCTTTCCTCCCTGTCTAAAATTCAAGAATCAACTCACATCTCTGCATCTTTCTGGAGGAAAATAAAGTCCTCCAGCCACAGCAGTCAAGCCTTAGACCTGGTCAAAGTACAATTACTGCTACAACTTTCTGGTAGAGTTAAGGTCGATGGTTTAAAATGGTTGATAAAGGTGTCCCACAAGGATCAATTATAGTGCCCCTGTCCTACTCAGTAGATGAGATTGACATTGCATTGTCAAATTTTTTGCTTGGAGTACTGTCTGCTCTACCACTAGCCAGGCGTTCTCAAGTTTATATCTGCTTTAGACAACCGTCAGACCTTTTTAAAAGCTTGTTTTAAACTCCAAAAAGACTAAAGGTATTGATTTCACAACAGCTTTGATGTGTTACTACCACTACTTCTGAGCCGTACACACAATGTAAATTTAATGTTTTCAGTACAGCATTATAAGTAGCTGATTGTTCTGCTTTTTTTTTATTGGATTCTTTACCTGAACAGAGCTTGTTTGTCCTTTTTTCAAAACAGAAGTTCATTATCTAATCCACCATGCTATACGCATTGAATAATAGAGATACCCTGTATGCTCATGCTGCTAACAGTGCCATTAAACCACTGCATGCCATTTTATCTAAAGTTAAGTTGTGGAGATAATTAACATCCAAAGTGAATGACCATGAAACCAGATCACAGACTAAGGTGGCTTTAAAAGTTCCTCTTATCAGCTCTGAACTGGGGAAGACAGGCTTTTATCACTGCCTCCTTATTCTGTCCATCTTTATCTGCCTATTTGCTTATCCTCTTCAACCATTTCTTCTTCCTCCTGTCAGGCCACCTTTCAGCCCAGCGGGTGGCGCTGTGTGTTCAGCACAGTGGGAAGAGCGCAGGTCAGTCAGTCTCCTCTTTCATCGAGGAGCTGGTGGTGCGCAGGGAGCTGACTGACAACTTCTGCTTCTACAACAAGAAATACGACAGCGTGGAGGGTCAGTTGAGGTCTCATTAAATTGCATCTTGTTCACTCTGTCGTGGCCCATTTTAGATGAGTCATCTGCTCACAAGCTGAGTTAATGTATAAATTGATGGAGTATGTTTTGAAATGATTCAGCTCTGGAAGTTGTTTTTGCTTTCTGATTGTTTCTTAAAAATTTTGTTGTGTTTTATGTTTTTTATACTCAGGTGCACATGAGTGGGCTCAGAAGACCTTGAAAGACCATGCCAAAGACGTGAGGCCGTATCTCTACACACGTGAGCAGCTGGAGAAAGCAAAGACACACGACAAACTCTGGAACGCTGCGCAGGTACAACATTTAGTCTACAACACAACAGATCTCCTTTGGTCTTCTCACTCAGCTGTTTCTGATGTAAACTCATTTGCTTGCTGTGTCAAACTTGCTGCTGTTGATTGCACGTCTCCATTAGTACCAGGTGGTGACTGAGGGGAAGATGCATGGTTTCTTGAGGATGTACTGGGCCAAAAAGATTCTGGAGTGGACTTCTTCACCCGAGGAGGCGCTCTCAGTTGCTTTGTACCTAAACGATCGCTATGAGCTGGATGGCCAGGATCCTAATGGCTTTGTCGGTGAGGACATATATTAAATGCTCCTTTTGTGCGCCACTGATTTTCTGAACTACTTTTCTTGCATATTAATGCCCTCCCCACTGTGGTTTCATCCTGCAGGTTGTATGTGGTCTATTTGTGGCGTCCATGACCAGGGCTGGGCAGAGAGACCCATTTTCGGAAAGATCCGCTACATGAACTACAAAGGCTGCCTTCGGAAGTTCAACGTTGCCCAGTTTGAAAAAAAATACTGCCCTAAAAACCTTTGAAGAATATAATGTTTTGAAAGATGGGAATAAAATGCCTTACAGCCGACATCTCCTACACCTTTACCTCAGGGAGCATCGCAGCCTCTAACTCTCTCTCTTTTCAGCTTTTCTTTGTTCTTCACTGCTTGTTTTATCCTAATTGCATTATTGTTTGCGCTGTTCCTTTTTACTGAAATATTCAGACATATTGTTTACGCTTATCAAGACTGTAAGCTGTTTTCTGGTAGTTTACCGTACAGTGTACTGTTACTTTTTTTTACTTTAGATTATGATCTGTGGTGCCTACGTAAGTGCAAATAACGTTTTACTTTGTTTCATGCTACTTTTATGTTTGAATTTTACTGTAAACTCTATTTTGCACATATGCCTTGTTTGTGTTTCAACAACTGATTCCACAACACATGCTGTTCTTATAGAGGAACTCTGATTTTCATACCAAACTGTAAACGATGTTAGTCATAAACCAATTTCTGTTCACTTATATTACAATTTCTTCATTTACTTACAGTTCTCCAGCTGTAATTTATCTCTAAGACCTGAAATAAAGCATATGTTGCCATTAGCATTCTTTACTCAAAAACATTCACCCACAATCACTTTGAATCGGTTGCATTTAAATTTAATTTAGAATTAAATATAGCCAGACTTTGAAGTATTATTAACTAAAACGTACTCTGAATCAAACCAGCACATCAGTGCAGCATGAACTGTCAACAAATGCGTAACAAAAAATCTGCTGATTAGAGAAACTTGTATGTGTATCTAAAACAGGAAACTGGATATTACATCCTTGTATTTGCAGAGACAGGGTGCCATCACAGTTGTGGTTTTATTGAGCACCAATGTAATTAAGCACAGAAACAAAATCTACTTCTACTCAACTTAATTAACTGAACCCTCTGTATTGGATAAAACTGTCCCTTCAGGTAACATACCACTTTTACAATTACAATATGGAACCTCCTCTGTGCTATGGGCTCTTTCATTGCGTTAGTTCATTTCAGGGGAAAGAGATACCTCCCAAGATTGTGCTTTCATGTGCTACATATCTGAAACCAGTTGGAATACTTGTAGAGAATAAGAATAATACAGTGGCTATAATATGTTTGACTAATTTACTGGTTTCTAGCATACTGGTTATTTGTCTTCACATCCTGTTGTAGATGAAGAGTTAATTAATGCTTGATAAGATGGAAAGAAAACAAGAACTGAGTTTTCATGCAATAATTGTTTTCCTCAAGGACAAACACATGACTATAACTGTATTAACATTCATTTCTTTGGTAGTTATATGACTTCATGTGCTCTCCTGACAAGTCGAACAATAAATCCATGCTTATAATGGGGAGCAGTGTTGATATACAAGCTGACCAGGATTTCCATATTAAGATATTCTACCTCTGCTACAACTGTAAATAGATGTGCTGTGTTTCGCATGCACACAATTGTTTAGTCCATCACCTAAACAGCAGGCCTACTGGAATACCAATATTTAACTTTTTACACTGAGCAATACATCAGCATTGACTCAAAGAGGATGTTGCTGGTAATCTTCATGCTTTTTTGTTGGGGGGGGACTCCTGTTTTATTAAATAGATCTTGGAGTGACAGAAAACTACTGTCACAGCTTTGTATACCCACAGTTCACAGCTCTTTTTACACTGAGGTCTGACTCTGAACTTTGTATCGGCCACCGTAGTTTCTCTTTTGATGCTGCTAAATCCTACACACAAGTCTGTTAAGTGCAGTGTACTGTTGCAACCTCAAGTGAATGAATTACTGTGCCCTGTTTTAGGAAATTACAAGGCCTAATTAAGACAAAAAGTCTACAGCCTGAAAATGCTAACAGGTGTTTAGCAGGTATGTTTAAAGTGTTTGCCATCTTAGTTTAGCATATTAGCATACTGGCATTTTCTAATTAGCACTAAACACAATGCTGAAGCTGATGAGTCATTAGTTAAGACTAGCTGGGATCAACAAGGTTATACCCATTTTCATTGGGATCCACCCAGTAGATAAATTTAACTGAAAACCACATTTCACATGTGGTTTTGCTGGTGGTGCTACAAGAAAAGTCAGGAGATCACATCGTTCTCCGGGGACCATGAATGTCTATATAGAATTTCCTGGCAGTCCATCTATTAGCCATACCTGTCTCAACCAAAGTGGTGGACTAACAGTCACACTGACACGATCATCCCTAGGGCCAGAGTCGCTCATCCTCCTTTCATACGAAACTGTAAACAAATTTAAAGTCATAAACCGTTATCTGCTCATGTGTATCACAGTTGCTTTAGCCATTCTTCTTTTAAAAAATCATACTTTTCAGCATAAATACAAACAAAAATAGGAAACAAAAAAGATAAATATGTACATTATTGCATCCTTGTAGATGCAGGGACTGGGTTACATCACAGTTGCAAATGTGTATTCATTGAGCGCTGATGTGATTAAGCACAGAAACAAAATCCACTTCTACCCAAACCTAATTAACTGCACCCTCTGTACTGGATAAAAACAATCCCTTCAGGTAACAACGTACTTAACACCACTTCGCAAATTACAATATGGAACATTCTGTGGGCTCTTTTGTTGTGTTACTTCATGTCAGGGGAAAGAGATATGGCTCCAAAGATTGTGCTTTATTGTGCTAATTAGCTGAAACCAGCTGGAATAGTTACAGGGAATCGAACATTACAGTGTGATATAACCAAATGCTAACTTCATGGTGGCGCTAGAGGAAAAGTTACCAGGATTCGTCCTCTGATGACCATGAATGTCTGTAAGAAATTTCATGGCAATTCATCATATAGTTGTTGAAATATATCTGACATTGTCGTCCCTGAAGCCGTGCCGCTAGTGTGCCTATATATGCTGATGATATGTTGGACCTATAGACTGTATAAAACACCACGTGAATCTTGACTTTCTCTTTCTCCCTCTTGACTTTGCAGGTGTATGAGTCATTTCAGCACAAGAGCATCAGACTTATAAACATAAGGAGAATGCAATCACAGCAGAACTCCACTGTCCTGGGATTTACCTGTCTTTTGTGAAATAGCTTGCCTATAAATTAAGTGGAGAGCTAATCTCACCCACTAAGGCTGGTGTAACAAGGAGAAAATGAAAACAGAGAAGCGGTGCCAGAGTTTAATCAATGTGCTGTTGATATCCCTTTCCCTCTTTATCTACCAATATTCACAGTCTCTGAATTACTTTTTGCTTACACTGGCATTCGCTGTAGTGTTGTAAGTACATTCTCCTACAAGTACATGAGCTTATTGGCACCCGGCTGAGTGATGCTGTGGCACAACCTTGACTCCTCAATACTGGTCTGTACAATCAATTTACCGAATGTTTCTTACATATTATTCACTGTCCAGCTTTCTTTATAAGAAAATAAATCCCCCACAGCCCCACATCCACCCTGCAATATGTGCATTAGTATTTTAAGTCTTTCTTCCTTAATCTCTCTCCCTCCATTCATTCTCTACACCCATATATCCTGTTCAGGGTCACAGAAGGGAGTGATGTACCATGCACTGTGCCAATGCATGGTACTCCCTACGTTGAGTTTTCTAATCAACCTGACTTGCACATCTTTGGACTGTGAGACTATGATTGGTTTAATGAGTTGGTTTGGTTTCATTTGTTCTGCAGCCAGGGTGTTAGTGTCCTGTAAATCACGTGCAATACATGGACAATAGAGAAATGTCATATTTTTAAACGAGTTGGTCAAAGTTGAGAGAAAATACCAAATCGGAGTATTTGTAATCTCGTAACCCCATCTAAATTGTTCCCAAATCTTTAAAACAGTGTTAGTACATTTTTTGGGCCAGTTAGCAGAAGTGAAAAAAATAGAAACACAACACAGATCACCAAGTTGATATGAAGGGCTAGCAAACATGTTACTAGTTACATGTAGTCCAATGTTCACACACATTTTAGCTCTGTGTTAGTGTCCAAAACAAAAATATGTTTATCTTTATGTTAGCGGCTAAATGCTCTATGTTCACCAGCTGTTAGCTTTTGATTGTGTGCCTGCTGTTTGGTGCCAGGCAGGAAAATGTTAGGGTTAGGGTGCTTTGAGCTAAATGCTAACACTACAGCTAGTGCAGATAACATGTTAAACATTTTATTCAGCATGTTAGCATGCTAACATGAGCTAATTACCAATAAACACAGAACAGAAAGTACAGAGGATTTGATTGGATGATCATTACAGGTTATTAAGCAACAGTAGGCTGTTGGACAAATTATAGTTTGGACCTGACGGTGCTAGAGGAAAAGTTAGAGAATCACCAATGTTAATACAGTTCATCCTGAGGGGATTCAATTACTGTCAAGACTTTCACTCAACACCTAAAATATCAACCTCATGCTGGTGGTAGAGCACAGGTCAAGGGAGTCATGAGGTGACATTGTATGGGAATCATTAAAAAGGCCTAACGACAAAATCAAAAAGTTGTTGAAGTATTTCAGTCTAGATTAGGGCTGTACCCGATCACTCAATCCGAGTCATCAGTCGAGAAGACCCTGAGTCAACTTGCATTTTGTCAGTCGAATCACTGCACTTTGGTTTTTTAACTGCGTCATTGTACAGGCCGTAAACATTACAAAGTCTCAGTATGACCACCAACCATAAAATCTAACTGTGATGAAAGTGGAGAAGAATGATAGTTAACAGAAGGCAGCGTTATGCTCGACAGCCAGACTGCTCCGACACTGCTCTGGTGCTGACTGTCAGTACAGTACAAACCACTTTTGAACCAGACTGCGGTACCACCTCCTCCACTGCCGTCCACCGTCATTAACTCTTTGGCTGACAGCCCTATCAGCAGCCGGAGAGACGAGATTGTCGAGTCATCATATTGAACGGCCAAATCCGATTTGACTGGAACTGCCATAAACCAAAGTAGTGGACTATTTATTAGTGTTTAGTTTATACAATTTTTGATTGTATGCATGCGACCATATTTATACTTAAAACCTACCAGTGTCTTGGCCTCCCTCCATTGTTGATGTTGGGTTTTATGTGTACAACATTCCTTCCACAGACAGCTGGTGCTGCTGGTATTGAATCATAAACCATGGTGCTCGTACAGGGATGCTAATGGAGCCAAAGCCCATTCCCAGAGGTGTCTGCTTAACACATTGGGTTAAGGACGTATCAGTCTCGTGTCTTCTGTCTTCTTCCACAACTACTATTCTTATTAGAATGACCTCTGAGCTCCAGTCAGACTATCAGTGTCAGTCGACCATCCTCACAATATGCTTAAACCTCATCTCATTATGAAACTCCTCACATCATCCTCTCTGCGGTGAATCATATCTCCTCCTCCACATCCTTCTTGTCTCTTTTGAGCTCTTACATTACATCCTGCCCTAGCACTTGTCTCAAATTATCATTTTGGTGTCATGAGAATATTTCAAGAGCACTTTCCCTCTTAGGTTTCCATCCCTTATTATCTGCTGCTTCAATAGAGGTGAGCTATAAGTTTACGAGATAGTTTATACGTTTTAACGGTGTGCAAATTAAGCTTCTAAATTAAAAAATGTACCATAGTTGAATTATGTTAGGAGTCAAAACATGTCAGTATGATGCAAATAAATTACTTTATATGAACACTGAAAAAAACAGTGTTGTGATGCCAAAACTTTTCAACATGGTGAAATTTCCAGATCTCTGCTCATTTCTGTGAGTGAAAGTCAAAATGAAACACATCATATTTCTCATTTGGGTTGATTTGTGCTTTAATTTCACAGCTCCCACATTCTGCTCACATAATTCTTTAAAGTTGTGAATAAAATGATACTGTGGCTTCATATTGTTACATCAGATGCCGCGGGTGGTAATCATAACCACGCTCTTGAATGAATGTCATCTCTTGGGTGATACTGGTGATGCAGCCTTTTAGATGAGTCTATTTGCAGAGCTGGTAGGTAAACAGTGTGTTCTGTTATGATGATGGAAGTTGTGGGTAGATTTTTGTTCATTAGTGTTGGTGTCATTACAAAGTGATTTGCCGTTATCTTCTGTCCTCCTCCTGCTTCATGTCGTTAATTATTTCATGTTTTCCATATTATTGACCCAGTGACATCATCTTTCCCCCTAGCCTCTACCCCTCATAATCATCGTCTCCATTTGTACGAATTAGTTTTTCCCCTGAACTGCGTGTCACCCACAGTTGAGATGAGACAGCCTAGTGGAAAGCTTCTTGTGGCTCTTGGCAGACCTTGTTACTCATTAATAACTTGTATTGTTTCGGGCAGCACTTTAACCATGATGTTTACACAGACGACATTTCTATCCTGGAGCTGGTTGCGCTATAGGAGTCTAAACATGAAAACAAGCGCACTGACTCATTATACTATTCTCTTTCCAAGTCAAACCCGTAATAAGAACAGTAACTCTGCTGGCACATCTTACCAGCAGCACTGATGTTCAAAAGCAGGTCATGGAATCACATATACTACTTTAAGGGTACACGCTAAGAAAAACATACATGCTTTCATAAATAGTAGAGAATACTGCATCAGATCCTGTGCAATAATAATACAAGTATATATATATAATAAATATCCACATGTCCTATATAGAGGTACTGTCTTCAATACAATTTGCAAAATGTTAAAGCAATTAATTCAATGCATATAACAACATGCAACATGTTTTACTATCAGAAAAGCAATACATGGATGTGATCCTTAAAACCTGGCAGTAATTATTTCTTAAATGATGTATGTATTGTTGATTAAGCTTTAAATAACACGTAAAATTACTGATATTGTACATTGTATAAGTAGTCACACAGCACTGTAGCATTTGGCCTATAAAATCATTAAGCCATGGAGTATTTTCAGAATATAATTTTAATACTTTTAAGGCACATGGCTAATCGATGGCTATAAATACCATAGACGTACCATCTTGTATTTATTCCTCTTCTTCGCTCAATTGACATGCACTTTCACCGCTCATTCATTCCCAGACAAGTGTTGTTGCTTTTAAACAGGAGACCACTGTGCTTCCATTCTTTGCTGTGGAAGTGTTATAATGTCGGCACCTTGAGCTGAACAGCAGTTCAGCAAAATGTTACGCTTCACGTTATACAGTGCATGTATATACAATAAATAGATTCACCGAGTACACAAAAAGAAATTATTTTCTTTTGTGAGAGTTGATGGGTTACATTCCCCATGCATAAAAAAGCTGTGGTATCATTTATATGATAATTTCATTCTTTTTTTCGAGCAGTTTCTCCATCTCATCATCTCTTTGCTTCATTCAGTAGGTTGTTTTGTTGGTCCTCTCTTTAAATGGGATTTTGAGCTATTTCTCCAGGACCCCCAGATACTATAGGAGAGTGTGAAGCATGCAAGTATGCTCATCATTATCCAAAATGGGTCTCTTAAGGCTTGTCATGTAGCCTTTGGTCACATATCCATTTGGGGTAAGATCTAGTCATGTTTGTCTGACATCCCCTACCACTTAGAGGGTAATATCCTTCTATTTGTGGCGAGTGCATTCCCATTTGAAGGTCTATGAGCTACTTATGTGTAAGGAAAGGTGAGAAATTAAAGGACAAACCAACATAAAGTTAAAAGACTGATGATCATATTTTTCCAAAAGATATTTGATGTGTCAATGATGGTGGTCAGTCCAAAATCTCCCATTGGTACTCAGTTGGGATGAGACCTGGCAACCGTGTAAGGCGCCAAAGGATACGATTTATTTTCAGGCTTTTCAAACCATTCAATGACCCCTCAATCCCTTTTTTAGTTGTATTTCTCCTCTCATTCAGTTTTTCCTTTAATTTGTCACCCATCTCTGTATAATGTTCTTGGACTTCCTAAGGTCCAAACTGGCTCAGAGGAGCCTAAGTCCATTTCATACTGTTGGGCATTTTCTCACTCAAAGTGCTGCGTTGGGTCATCTGTAAGCTAGAGCGTGACGGCCAGCTGTTAGAAGAACAGGTTACATGACTGAACATTTCTCTGAACCTGGTGGACATGAGGTTGTAAAGGATGGGGTTGATGGCAGAGCTCAGGTAGAAGCAGACTCCGGAGACAATGTGGACATGCCCAAAGACAATGACGTGAAGCTCGGATGAGTTGTCAATGTAGCTCCACACCAAGCGGTCCACATGGAAAGGAGCCCAGCAAAGGCCAAAGACAACCACCAGCACACCTGGACAGGTCAGATGGACAGTTTAGCTGGATGACAGATTGACACCAGGGAAATTGAAGCACACACACACACACACACACACACACACACACACACACAAGTATAGATTTGTGACGTAAATTCAATCATCAGCAAATGACAAATGACAAGGCAAAGCTGAGAGAGTCAAATGGAAAAATAGTGTACAAATGCATATGGGAACAATGGATATAAAGGGACATACAGACAGTGTTCAAATGATGTTTTCTGTCCCTTAGCAGAATGGAAAAACAACATCACTGAAATGACACCTACACAGCATTTTGGTGACTTGCAGGTTGCGTTTGCTCAGCTTCTGCTTGTGAGACCTGGAGAGACTTTCTGGTCCAAAGCTACACCTTGTGTCCACGACGGTCATCACTCTCTCGCTGTGCAGCCGCAGGCCAATGAGCAGATACAGAATGCTAATTATCAGCATGGGAAGCAGGAAGAAGGCCAATGTGGAAATCAGAATGATCAGGTTGTACATCCAGGCGGGTTTGACCACATCTGAGGACAAAGAAGGATTGTATAGTAGTTTCAGATCATGAACCCAGATGTACCATCTGTATTATAGCTTCCTAACCTACCGCAAAACCTCTTAGCCCTTTAAGCCATGCTAACTTTAGGTATGGCATTATTATTGAATCCTACTGACTTTGGACAACTATTAGATGGATTACCATAAAATTTGTTAAAGACATTCCCAAATGACTCGAGCGCCACCATGTGGTGGAATGTTTTTTTAGTCAAATGTCTCGACAACTATTAGACGGAGTGATGATGTTTTGTGTAGATAGTCATGTCCCCGTCAGGATCAAATTAAATAATTTTAGGGATCCCCTGACTTTTTTTTATCTTGTGCCATTGCCATTGTCAAAACTAATGAAATTGCCATAAATTCCAGCTGTACTTTGTGTAAAGTGCAATTAGCAAATGTTAGCATGCTTTGCTATAAAACATTATGTCTGCTTGTGTTATCTATTAAAATAACAAAAATAGAATTAAAATTCTGTACGTACAGCAGATAGCAGATCGGGGAAACTGTCGCCCAAACTTTGGAGGCAGCACCTTAATCCCATGCAGACTGGTATTTGGCACAGCACACAGCATGGACAGCACCCACAGCATGAAGATGACCCTCTTGACATGAGCACGTGTAGTCATATGTTTGACTTTGAGGGGATGCACCACCGCCACATAGCGCTCCACACTGAGCGCTGTCACGTTTAGGATGGAGGCAAAGCATACAGTCTCAAACAGGAAGGTTTTGAAGTAGCAGCCTCCCTCTCCGAGCAGGAAGGGGTAGTTCTGCCACATCTCGTAGAGCTCCAATGGCATTCCTAGCAGCAGCACCAGCAGGTCAGAGACCGCCAGGCTCAGCAGATAGTAGTTTGTGGGTGTCTGCATCACCCTGTAGCGCAAAATGACTGCACAGGTCAAGGAGTTGCCCAGTACGCCCACCAAGAAGATGGTGAGGTAGGTGACACAGACGGGAAGGAACTCCGGAGACCTCTGAGGCCCCAGGTGCTTGGCCAGATAGTCCTTCTCACTCAAGCACATGTCATCCAGATCTTGTGCTGTAGCTTTAGCCAACACCCAGGAGATATTCATCCCACACACCAAAGCAGCCTCGGGGCAGCCCACATCATTGAAAATTGAGGCACCACTTGAAGAAATAGCTGCAAGGGAGCAGTTAAACTCCGGCATGTTGCTGAATGGCAAGAAGGTTACTCGGTTCCTAAACCTAATGGGAAGAATACAGAGGAGAACAATGGACTTTAAAGGTGTACTCCACTGATTTTATAAATTAAGTTCAGTTTTTTCATCACAGTAGGTACTGCTTAGCTGGTCTAAAAACCAGAATGTCTTTGTACCTACACGACAGTGGAGACTACCACCGACAGGCAGCATACCGGACCATAAGAGCTTACGTAAGTTTATGGTTAACGTTGTAAAATCCTTGCAGTTTGGTTGAGTGAAGGCACATAAAAGTACTTGGTTAGCTTTAGGAAAAAATCATATTGGTTTCAGATAAATATGTTACATTTCGTTAGTCACAAAAAATAACCCTGCTGATGAGACATGAATTGCAAACCGCCTTTGTGGAGTTCCACAGATGTGGTTGACCAGGGAGGGTCTAAAAAAAGATGCACACCATCTTCATCATGGGAACTGTAGGATCCATCTGTTTTTGACTGACATTAGAGGCTAAAGTCAGGATATCTTGCCCTGTGACTTTGATTCTTTTTCAAATCTGTGTCCTGAGTCCCACAACTATGGAAGTCTAAAGCTAAATTACTGGGCTCCCATTTAGGATACATTATACTGATACCTTGTTGTCCACTGGACAAAATACTTGTCTGTCTTGTAAAAGAGGGAACTTGAAAATCTGATTAAACATTTATTTTTTTTTCTCACAGTTTTTTATTCCTCATTGGACTATGAAACAAGGAAAAACAAAGGCTTCTCACTATTGTGTCCAATAATCATAACAGTATTAGGGTCAGAAAATGTTTTATAAAACTGCATATCTGTAGCTACCAAAGAAGGCACAATATTCTTAAGTGTTCATTTTACCTGACCAATTCGCAGACAATAGACTCTTGTAACCAAGCAGCTGTAACTAGCAATTAGCAGAGAAAGTATGCTCGTAAATGGAAGCAACATGCGGACAAAAAGCAGCCTAATCAGTTTAGGGGATAAATGGTAGACTTATTACCACGGCAACAATAATTAAGTAATAAATAACTAACCTTAGACATGTAATTCTGCTGGAAAAAGTGTGCTTTCTTGTCATTTTCTTAAACATGTTTGGTATATGTTCTTGTCCTCCCACAAAAAAATTTGTTTAAACAATGCTGTCACAGTGTTGTCTTATTAGAAATTTATGTGCAGCAGAATACTGACTCTGGAGGGGCTTTTGTTTAGATTCCCACAGTGGATTTGTTTATCCATTGAACATGCAACTGAGATATTAAGATAACTTCATGACAGGGGAAAAAAAAAAACTCACCTGCAGCTTGTGGGGTCCTTGTGGGCTTTATCCTCTTTTAATTTACAAGATGAGCAAGATTTGAAGAAATGTGAAAAGATGTGGAACCATCATATTTCTTTGCATCCTGGACTTTTCTGGTACTTTATCTCGACTGCTTTGGTCCTTCAGTGCGTCACAGCTGCCTTTACTTCCCGTATTTGAGCGCTGGAGTTCACCCCACCTCTCTCTCTCTCTCTCTCTCTCTCTCTCTCTCTCTCTCTTCATCACTGAAGCATCTTGTTTGCAGACTCTTCTTCCCCTCTCTTTCCTCCAATTCAACATCTTATAATTTTTTTCACACACTCTTTTGCACACACACACAAACACTTCCATTATCCGTGAACCTACAGAGACTCTATACCTTGTAATCCTCCATTCTATTACTTTTCCCATTGAAAGACCACGTATTGCAGCAATGTGAAAATTAAGGTTGAGATTGCTTTGACCCTGGAACTCATGGCGTGAGTCTGTGTGTGGAGTGGGGGCGCATGGAAAAAAAGAAATGTGACTATTGCCTTTTATTCAAAGTCAAACACAAAACAAGCAGACATGCAGCCAAATCAATAATACAATTAGAATTTAAGACACAAAGGGGTCTTGTTGAAGATATGGAATGAATGTTAAATTTAGTTTGAAAATTAAGTCCTATTTTATATTCAGAAGTGCTCAGTGAATAGGCAGCAAATGGTGACAATAACCGTGGATACAACAGACAGAACACAAGATTACAAATAAAACAGTAATAGAGACACTTATCTGTTAAAGTATTAAACCTATGTCAAATACAAAATATTGTGTTTATGTACACTGTTTAAACACAGTGTAGAATAGATCACAGCTTAAAAACTTTTGGTTTGTCATCTGTCACATTTTCCATTTTTTGTTTTTTTTATTGTCCTTATTATATATTTCTTTCCTCAAGCAATTTGTGTTAGTGGGAATTCAGACAATCCAGTAAGTCCAGTTTGAGAAACTTTTTCGCAGGCTCCTGTACTGTTTTTTGCCAGATCCCCACCTGCTGTGCTGATGGATTGGCTCAATTCAAGTGGCTGTAAGAGGGCAGCGTTGTTTTTCATAGAGGGCTGTTGGTATGAACCTTACTGAACTGACAGCAGTTAGCAAGATTCAGACCAACCCTGCATCCCCTTGGCAACCTCTTTCCTTCTTCTGCTAAACTGATGATACCATCAGTCAAACTGCTGGTATTATTTACCATGGCAACAGCATTGAAGGCTGCATGTTTTGTTGTTGGTTTTATATTTTAAAATATAATGAGTTCCAGCCTAATCTAAACTGCACTGCATGGTCAGTACAGACTCATTACATCATATTTAATTAATCTGCAGTCACTCGTCAGAGAATGAAAATCAGTGCGAAGATATCTCAATGTGTGAACAGACGCTTTGGTTTTGAGTGATTCATGCTATTCAGTACCTTTCTGCATTAATTGTACAGTATGTGAGTCATCAGATGTGTGAAGATTAAGAAGTAAAATATTTCAGTCCTTAAGGCTCAGATGAGTATTTTCCCTACTGCTAACCAGAAGCCCAATTAATAAAAATGCCCTTTTTTATTTATATTTATGAATGTATACAGGGGAGAAGTGGGGAAATATTTTATATGCTGAGGATTGCTTGGCTAATGGAGCAGCCCCGATGAGAAACATCCTACGCAGTACATTTACAGACAAGCAGGGAGGGGAATTCTGTGTGCAATAAATCACCAACAGAGCTTCTGTCACAGGGCAGAAAATTCACAGTTTTGGCCGGCTGCACACGCCTGTATGACTGTGCCCCCCCACCTTCCCATTTCTCTACCTCCCTCTGCAGTGGTGTCTAATTCAATAACAGCTTTTAATCCCAACGCAGGGGTTCCAATACTTCCCTGGCAGGAAACTGACATGTTCTCATTGGTGCCTCTATTTAGTCGAGTTGATTAGGCTTCTGTGTCACACTGACAAAAAGCTTTGATTGTGATGAGAAACCCTCAACAGAATTCCAGCTCAACACTACCTTTTAGAAATAATAAATTTAGGCTCATGGTGATTAGTTCAGTTCTTGACCATAAAACCAAGAGGTAACACTGTGCTCTGTACACAGACACGGTAAAGGGTCAGTTTACCCATATTACAAAAATCTGATTTCTCAATTCCCTTTGGAGGTATCTAACCTGACAGTGACGTCTGCAGATTAACAGGGACACAAAGACACGCTGAAAAACAAATAAAACCATCTACCAAAGATTGACATATCAAGCAGTAAAGTCTTAAAATTAATTCTAAAACTGGTGAACTATGTAACCAGTGAACGGCAGCAAGGATTGGTGAGATACGGTTGCTTCTCAAGCCTGGCAGCAGCATTTTAAGTTCCAGTCTTTGGATGTTTCGCCTGCTGATACCGGAATCATTTCTAGATCTGCAAAGGGAAGGAACAGTCTGATCTTGGTTAAATCTGTTAGTTGTAACACCCACTGAGGTTACGGGCCTATTTTTTAACATTGTTAGATAAGGCACCTAGACCAGGTGAGAAATGGTGCAGGGGAGAAAGGGTTATTATAATTATTTGGGATTTGGAGTCACTCAACTGCATAACATTTTTGGACATCCAATTTTTTATTTCAGTGAGGCAGGAAATGATACAGAACACGCCTGTGGTACCAGGCTTTAACAGACATACTGTCGGCTGTAGGGTCATGAGCCAAAAAACACCTGCTGTGCGTTAGACACAAGTGAGAACCAAGAATTATATGAATACACAAAACATGTGGAACATCATGCAGTAATCAGTATGAGTGACTCACATGCAGATGTTTAAAGAACACACCATCAAATCTAAGTGAGGTACTAATGTAAAGACACATTAAATCTGTCTCAGCCTCTGGTCAGTTCTGGCCTCGGGTTTGTCATCTACATCACATGCAGTGTTGGCCCTGTCCAGGAAACACATGTGCAGCCTGCAACAGTTTTTCCTGCTCATACTGAATTATGTCATGTACCATCCATTGCCTAGAAACCCCTTCTCCGTGTGGCTGAAGAATAGCAAACAAAGTGCAGGAAAAAGAAACCAGTGGTGTACAACAGCGTGATGTTAAAAAAAAGGGGTCCAAAATAACAATGTAGTATGACTGTTCCTGTTGAAATATATTACCCCGAAGAACATTAAGGCAAACCATCACATGTGTGCTGACAGGGAGGAGCCCACGCTGGCTGACAGCGGCTCACAGTGCGACATTTCCTCCATGCCAGCACCGTTTTGTTTGCAGCATCATATAAGAATGGATATCAGGAGGATTTATGTCAGGAAGATTTATTTTAATTGTATACAGCTCTGCCTGGCCTCCACCTGCATGAATGTCTCCAAAGAAAAGCCCAGTCTGGACTCACTGTCTGTCTGTATCTCTGCAGATACTCCCTCCTAACTGACTTGCAGATTTAATTAACTAAATGCGGAGTCTTAAAACTGTGAACTCTGTCCAAGGTGAACAAAGTGTTTTGCGCAGGTCACTTGCAATGAAAAAGCTACAGCAGGCTTACCTTCTTGAGAATATTCATGGGACGTAATTACAGTCCCTTAAAATCTACACAGCTCCACCTCTCTTTTCCAAGCACCAAGCTTTGGAGCTGTAAACCAACCCACAGCTAATCCATTAATCTCTAGTATTTTCATGCTTTATGGGTGACACTGAATTTCATTATAGGAGTAAGTAATTGTGTTCCCAATGAGATAATTGCATCCTTGACATTTTATTCTTTTTTTAAAGAAATTTTTAAAAAAGGAAATATCAATACTTACCTTGGAAACACATGGACTCAAAGGGTTCATTCTCTTCAAAAAAGGAGAATTAAAGAGTGTTTAAATGTTGTTACTGACAGCTTTTAATGAAGGGTCTTTATCAACTGATAGCACAGCAGCAGGGTACTTAGACGCTGGCATTTTTACAGCGGTAAATTCAGCTACTTCTAAACAAATCTGACATTTAAGAGCACTTGCACTAGTTTTTAATTGCATATATAACATACATTTGCAAATGTTTGTCTGTGAGTGTCTACTTTTTAATGAGTCAATCTATTAAAGAGGCTAGTGGAGATGTTCTCTGTTCCCCCACACACCCCGTGAGTCTGTCCGGTCCGAGCAGCACTCCTCCATCACAGTGTCCATTATGGACAGAGACACAGTTGGAGAGGCTGCTGGAGTGCGTCCTGCGTCACGCTGCGACTAGTGGCTCCACAGAAGTGCAGTTGGTGGATGGACGCCAGGCAATCCTCTTAAATTCACACACAGTTAAACAGCTTTCTGATTTTAAATGGTTTTTCAGGGCGTCTTGAGCAGACTGTTTCACACCGACTTCAGATTGTATTAATGTGTAAATTAACATGAATGTAAACACAAATTTGATGGATAGCGTTAATACAGTACATTAACAAATGTCTTTGTTATGTTAAAAATGCTTCATTTCGGCTGGTTAGCTAGTTAGTTGTTACAGTGTTTACGTTACCCCACCATATTGTGGCCCAACACCAAATTACAACAGCACTCTACTTTAGAAATGAAACAATTTGTTGCTTAATTGATTAGTCGATCAATAGAAAATAAAGAATTCCCAGTTCCAGCCTCTCCAGTGTGGTTTTCTGGTTTTCTCTGTTTTATGTCATCAGTTCAATAACTTGGAGTTTAAGACTTTTGGTTGGACAAAATAAGCACCTGGAGATGTCACATTGGCCTTTAGGAAATTGTGACAGGCATTTTTTTTTATGTTTTATTGACTAAACTAGTATTTGAAAAATATGGATAATGAAAAGACATGAATAAAAAACTATAAGGAGTTTGGACTAGACCTGCACTATTTGAAAAGTGCCTTGAGATAACTTCTGTTATGAATTGGCGCTATACAAATAAAATTGAATTGAATTGAATTGAATTGAAAACAATCACTAGTTGGAGCTCTACTTGGTGCAACATAGTGGAGTTAGAAGCAGGTCTACTGAGTGACCGTGACTGGATGAATGCTGGATATCAAGGATTTGTGGCAGAGCTGCATAAACTGTCATTTGTAAGTGTTATATAAAACGTCATCGGCTAAAAAGAACACTTCGTCCCAGAGTATGAAATCAGT